TTCCTGTATTTAGACCTCTATAAATGCCCTTTGCCTCCTAGTTCTTTCCTCTATTTCCGTTTACTTTCTTCCTGTCCCACTATTATGTTCAGCTTTCATTCTGGTTTCAGTAATTCCTCTTGGTTACAATGCCCTTGATCAAGCCCTACCAGGCATCCTACACTCTCCTCACCATTGATTTTAGATCACTTGTTGTTCCCTTGTCCCTGGGTTTGTTAACACCCACTTCCTTTCCCCCACCTTGCCCTGTCCCATGTCTTCCACCCCTCCAACCATCAGTCTGTTGTTTTCTCCTCCGGATTGTTTATCCTGCCTATCTTATCTAGATAGACATACAGAGACAATAATAAGAACAAAAACAAGACAGAACAAAACAACATAAGAAAACAAAACAACAAAAACTCAATGACCAAAAAAACACACAAACAAACAAGAAAAGCCTATAAATAGTTCCAGGTCTGTTTGTTGACCTTTAGGAGTGTTTTCCAGTTGAGTCTGATAGGGTCCCACACCCTGACCCCAAAGTGTAATTGCTTTGCTCCCCTTGCTGTTCTGTTTCATGCCCTTAGGGTTTTGCCCTGGTGTGCTGGGGTCAGATTGAGTACAATTCCCACACTGTGCCTCCAGTGTTGTCCCTCATAGCACTATGGGTCAGAGAGGGACGTCGTGTCTCGTGGTGGGGCCAGCCCTATGGTCCTCTCTGTGCATTGGCTGCTCTGAGCAGGAATATCATCCTCGGGGCTTGGTGGAGTGTATTTTATTAAATATAGTGATACAAATTCATACGGCACTTTCCCATAACTGTCAAACAGTTTTAGACTAACATATTTTAATGGTTTCATTTATAAAACCTCACAACTTACCCTATTGAATTAAAAGGTATATGTAAGACATATACCTTAAATGCAGTGTATCTAATATATGAGAAAAATGCTGATGTGAATAATGCCACCATACTCAAAATAAAGTTCCAAAATATCCTATCAGTTATATTAAAAATATTTCAAAACATCTGATATCAGCTTGACTGCCCAGCCTACTTATCACTGGGAAATGGAGTAGCAAGAGCTGCTAAGTGGGTAGCTATCCTTACTGAATTTAATATGATTTGTGGGTTAGTAATGTACAAAATGCTTTGGAATAAACAACCTGGCAGCAAGAACCATTTCTGAAGCTCAAGTAAGCATTTCCATAGTGAAATTTGCTAACATGGGGGTAACTTTTACTAA